TAAATTGTCTCAGCACTGTTCTTGTGCTCATGCCCTGTATCCCTGGCTCAGATTAGCCTGGCTTGCCTGGGTAGCAAGCTGGACAAGAGGCATTACGTGAGAGAAGAGGAATTGTCTTGGACCATCTTTATACAGTGATACCTTGGTTCATGGACTTAGTTTTTCTGCAGTTTTGGAAAGATGATCACATTTGTGCTTGTGTAGGAAAGATGGCATCGGTTGTGTATGGTACCCATTGCAGAGCTTGGAAATAAAAACAAAATTTTGCCAAATGCTTCTGTTGGAGAACCAAATTATTTGTAAACAAGAACATTAACAAGCCAATGTACCACTGTAGTTGATATATTATATAAATAATAACCCTTTTATTTTGAAATATTTGTATTATAACACACTTAGAAGAAACTTTAAACTATCATGGGCTCTTTACCATCTGTATACCTTTGCTCCAGCAGTGTTCACCCTCATTGTGTGCTGATTAGAGCGACACATTCCACTCACAGGGATTCACCGTGGCTGTCCTCCTGGCCTGTCACTCACCCGCCTACACTGCAGATGCCACTTGCTCCTGTATTTCACTGATTAGGAACACTACCTGTTCATGGAGCTACTGCCCTGATGAGGTTCAATCTTTTCCTTTGCCCAGTTTTATTTGTCTTCAGAGTGCTTCTCATGATCTGAAATTGGATTCTATATTTATGTCATGATTGTTCTCTCTCCCCCATGGAAGTAAACTCCATAAAGACAAAGGACTGCTCTACTCTGTTTAGTATTCTTTCCCCACAAGTGAGAACATTAACCAGCACAAATCAGTTGTTCACTAAACATCTGCTGAATAAAGGAAGGACCTACACATGATGTGCCAAGGCAAGAACTCAGTAGTGGTGGAAACAAAAACTGTCCATACATAAGAAAATGTGACCTTGAATTTAGAAATCTGAGTTTAAAAGCTAATGCAAATGTTTTTTTAAAAAAATATTTATTTATTTGATATAGGGTCTCATTATGCAGCTCAGACTTGTAGTCATTCTCCTGTGTCAGCCTCTCCAGTGCTGGGATCACAAGCATGTGCCACCATGTCCAGTTCTAGGGCCAGCACAGTACGTGGTAGCAGGGGTCGAAATCTGGTCCTTGCACTTGCCAGTCAGGCTGTTACACCACTGAGCTATCTCCCCTGTCTAATGTAAATCTTACTTACATTTGGAATTAAGGAGGGAAGAATGAAATCATATCTCAAGTTTGCACTTAATTATAATATTAATCATCATAATATTATCTCTAGTGCCTTTACTTTTCCATACTACTTCAACATGACATGGACTGAGGAGATAGCTTAGTGGCATAAGCGTCTGCTTGGAAAGTGCAAAGTCCCAAGTTTGGTCCCCAGTACCAGAAAAATAAATAAATAAATATAACTTAAAAAAAATTTCTTTTCCTTTCTTTTTGTTTGTTGGCAAGTGAAGTACATACTTGCAATTCTTGCTGGCAGTGAATTAAAACCAGGAATCAAAAACCAAATTCTTTAAAATATTAGTTCAATGGCAGGAAAACAATATAAAAAGATACAATAAGAGTTAAATTTTGCTTTAAAACCATGTAGCAGGCAAAAGTAAAGTTAACATTTTAATCTTTTTAAGGCAATGCTCTTAATTTCTTCCTTTATCCTTCAGCCCAGTGTCAGGTATTCAACTACTGGTCAACTTAGTGAACAGATACATCAATTTTATTCTGACATGTCCCTATTGTGGCTGATTATGATGTTAACTTGTATGTAAATTACAGTATCTTATCAAAGACTAAAATGATGTGATGTATTTAAGCCATTAAAATATTTCCTTTCAGAAGGAGTTTATAGCCATAGTATTGGCTTGAATATTTCACTTGTGCAAGGTACTGTGCTAGAGACAGCACAGCAACAGAACTAACCCTATCAAGTTTGCCATGAGTAACAGTTTACTGGACAATTAGGGCAAAACAATTGTTTGCTAGACAATCAGGCCAATCAATTTTAAAATCATAGCAGGGAGGCTAACATTTAAAAGCCTGTCCAACTTTTAAATTGCACTTAAATAATCTGAAGAATTTGAAAGATCAGGTTTTAATTACAAATGCCTTAATTTTTTTTAAATATGTCATTACCTTCTTAGAGTTATTTTCTGTTATTTGATTTATTTTACATTTGATTGTAACTAGGACAGAAGAAACTGACACTGAGAGAACTGACTTGAGGTTTTTTTCTTTTCTTTTCTTTTCTTTTTTTTTTTTTTGCATTTTACGGAAGGGTCTACAGGGTGTTCAGGGTCTCACTACTAGATTGGACTCATAGTGATCCACCTGTTTACAGCCTCCCAAGAGCTGGGATTACAGGTGTTCACCACCATGCAAGTCTTAATTGCCATCTCAGCAGGCCGTGGAGGTGGGACCAGCACGGCAGGCCCGGGGATTGAACCGTGGCCCCTGCACCTGCTTGCAGGCATTTTAATCTATTGAGCTATTTGGACGGCCCGGAGTTTTTCATAAAGATAATGAATGGCACATAGTAAATACTAAGTACAAAATATGGTAACAGATACCAATTCATTTAAGTTGTGTGTTTATGCTTTAACCTTCATATGTAAACTTTCACATTACATACAAATATGCCTCATACTTAAATAAGATGTATTTATGCTTTCGTTTACATAACCTACATAGGTAAATAATGAAATAAGTTTGATAACTAAGTTGTCATGCAATTGTATCAGAACCTCACTTTTTGTGTAATATTTGGTAAGCATTCAGTAAGAGTTCAATATGACTTGAAATATTAATGTAAATCAAAACCAGTATGAAGTCCCTGAAGATGTATCCAATTATGCTATAAATTACAGAAGTCAATTTGTAAACCTTTAATTTGTAACAAGAAGACAGGCAAGGGTAAAGACAGTGGTCTTAAACAACTTGGTAAGGCTAGAAAACTATATTAGACACTTCATTGCTCAGTAAGAATTCCTGTTTACTTACCCATGCAGGGTCTTCCAAGTCCTTGGAACCGATAACCTCTTGGGCAAACACAGCGGTAGCTGCCTCTTGTATTCTCACATATTTGGTTATATCTGCACTGATGGGTCCCATCTTTACACTCATCAATGTCTACAGACATGAAGGTAATAAAAAGTAATAACACTTCCTCTTCTAAACCCAAAGTCATTGTATTTAAATTCACACTTGATAGGATCATAAAAGGTTGTGTTTCTCACTTGTGATGATTTAGGACTTGGGTTGAGAACATTTGGATTCAAGTCCCAGCACTTCTTTGGCTATCTTACTTACACTGATGGCTAATTAGCCTTTATGCAGCTATAAGGGAACAAAGCTTCTTCACCTCTGACCTACTTTTACATAGCTAGGTTCTAGCTGGGCATCTCCATCCCCTACTTCACCCATAATTCAAATCCAATATGAGTCCCTGTCTTATCCTTCCTCCCTTATTATGTCAACAGAACCCCTATTTTCCTAGCCAGCCAGGCTACTGAATGTCTTTAACAATCTATTAGTTGCCAAGATTGTGCAATTCTGTTTCCTTCAATCAAAACCATAAATCTTCACATTTCCATTTCCACTGAGCTGAATTTTTGCTGTAGTTTCTTAAATGGTCTTTCAGTTTTTCAGCTCATCTTATTTCTTTTTTTAAAATAATTTTATTGAGAAATAAATAGCAATAAGACAGTTTCAAAACCGATTAGTAGGACAGTTTCAATAATTAATACATTGCATATTGTTGTCTTAGTGGTTATTCATTGTACAAGATGTAGACATGATAT